ATGAGATTAAGTGAATTGTTTAATATGTGGTTAAACCAGCAACAACATTTTTATCTGTTCTAAACTAATTTCAAAATAAAAATAAACTAAACTAGACTAAATGTCTGTTTAAAACCCCACAAAAAGTCTAATTTTAGGCTACGCTAGTCAATGTTATTATTTTACATATATTTGTAAACCTAATGCGTTTTAAAATGCGTTTCACTTCTTGTCATTGCTTTAATTATTAAAATAATTATAACTTTTATGTTTTAATCAACTTTTAACTTTTTTGTTATTAAATGTAGCCTGAGAATGCTACATTTAATTCTCGTCTATTTAAGCCTTATATATATATATATATATATATATATATATATATATATATATATATATATATATATATATATATATATATATATATATATATATATATATATTGTAATTAACATAACATTGTAATAATGTAAATAAATGTGCAGTATTATTTTTTGTATCTGTGAATTTAAAACAAGTACTTAATATTGTTTAAATAGCCTAATATTGCTTATGGCCAACTTAATAATGCTGCAACTAATGCTAATGTGATGTCTTACTTTATGTACTGTAGTTATTTTTAATACTGTGGCGGTGCTGGCGTGTGCTGTCTGTTACTTTACTCAGCGCCGGTGCTGAAATTTCTGAACCAAGTAACCACAAGATGGCGTGAGAGTCACATCAAATAACATTTGTTTTGGTTTCCATTTTCACTTAATTATGTTTTTTTTAAATTGATAATTAAATAAAGGAATTCAGCTGCAATTCATTTTTGATACAAAAACAAGGTAACAATACTTCCTAGTGTTATAACTTCAAGCATAAAAATAATAATAATAAATAAATAAATAAATAAATAAATAACACCAGCGAGATTAAGTGACAAAGCAGTTAACTGTAGTAAAAAGGGGCAAGAGATTAGTTCTAGTCTAGTGTTGACCATTTGCCAATGTCCTTTATGATGTTTAAGATTATGCAGACTTTTCTTAGATTGTTTAATTATTTTTGAGATATTTTGGTCAACACATATTAAACCATTCAGGGCACAGAGAGCTTTTGGTTCTTTTAGATATGAATTACAATCAAAATTTATCCACATGCTTTTTATTCACATCCTTTCCTCAGGATTCCCAGTCTTTCATGGACAACAAATCAAGCACTTTTTAAATCACTAATATTTTAAATCGAGCACCTTTGTAATACACTTCCTTAGCTTTTTGTAGTCCTTTCTGAGTTAATATTTCACTTACACTAAATACTTACATTAAAATGTCATGATGATGATGTTTTAAATGTCATTTTTTAAATTGTTGATAGACATTTTAAACATCACTTTTAAAGTCATGTTGAAAGAAATGTACTCCAACTAGTTGAATACTGGCAATATTGAAATGCATTTTCTGAAGTTTTGATAAAATGCATTATTTGTCAGAGTTCATGTATAAAATTGAAATTTAAGATTTTTAAATTAAGAATTTATTAGAGTTTTTCACTGAGGCTTTGAAAGCAGCACAGTACAAATTTTCAAAATAACACTGTAAACTTTAAATTCAAGCATTTTCAAGGACCTATTTTTGTTTTTAAGTAAAATCCAGGCCTTGAATTAATGTCTGAAAATCAAGCACTTTCTAGAAGCGTGGGAACTAGGGATGTGCACATCGATGCTGGAGTATCCATATATCTATACTCAGAAGCTTTTAATCTGGTATTATTCATTCATTTTCTGCTGCTTATATATTTAAAAACTATAAACATTTAACTATATTTGAATAATTTCTAAAATGTTTTAGCGCTGTGCACAGGCTTGTCGGTGATGCTTTGTATACAACACAAGGAAACCTAGTGTGATGTGGTGCTACTTCTCATTAGCTAAAAAAGCATGGCACGATCCAATTTTTGTGATGAGAAGGTCGTACAAAGCAACAACACAAGCAGCCTTTATAAATACTTACAAACAACTCACCCTGAAACTTATAAAGAAGCAAAACAAAAACAAGCTGCCAAGCGTTCCTCTGCTCACTCTGTCCGACAAAAGACATTATAGGAAAGTTTTAAAGAAGGAAACCCAATCCAGGTACACAGAGTCATTAGTTTTTACATCTTTACATGTAATGATTTTTAAAAAATTATATATATATATGATTTAAAATCACATTAACATTTCAAATAGTGTCATATCAGTATTGGTATCGTTAAAATTTTAACAAAAAGTATCGGTATCCTATCGCATTCAAAAATTGTGGTATCACCCATCCCTAGAGGGAACCATGTTTCCCGCTCATCTCATTTGTTCATAGTAGCCCACTCTGTGCATCACACTGAGCGCTCCTGCAAAAGTAACGCAATTAGTGATTAGATGGCAGGGTCTACATGCAATCCAAACAGGTAGAAGCGCTGTAGGCTAACAAACTCTACCACCCGGACACAGTAATGCATCTCAGCTGAGCACTTGTGAGTGAATCACTGAAAATGGCTGTTGGAAACAAAGCTTGTATGCATCTGTTTTACATAAGGGCTGCAATCACAGAAAAACATCTCTTGTGAGTTTGGTTTTGTTACACTTCCCATCATCACCATATTGTGGAAACTATCTGCATGTTCAAGCCGATGTACTTCACTTGGATGTGGAATCAGTAAGAGTAAGGCTTTTTTTAATGGACATTGACAACCTTGCTTTATATGTCACTTTCTGTCAAGCAGAGTGGTTAGGGACAGAAATGGAGAACCTAAAGGCTATGGTTTCATCACACTTAAGGCTGCTGAGTTGGCAATTAAGAAGCTATTTTTTGATGTTATGTTGCTAAATGACCATCTAGTGTCTATAATACGTCAAAATAAGCCATTAGAGAAGCGCTTAGCTAAGCGAAATTCCAGTATATACCCATTAAAAGATAGACTACAGACTTCATGTGTCCAAACCTCTTTCATAATTCTGTGTTCAGCTCTCTATTTCCTGTGTTCCGATGTGTCTACAGTGGAAATGACGGAAAGGATTGATTGTGGCTTAGTCAGAGCAAAAGAAACCAATTAGTGCAGATAAATTTGCACAAATGTATTGCAGAATTATATGTTGCTAATAAGAAAACATTGCGTAATTAATGTTTGAGTATTTGGGCCTATTATAAAAGTTTTAAGTGTTTGATTTTTTCACACTGTGTCCTAATTTATGAAGACTGAATTGTCAAAGTACAAGTAGTGACAGAAATAAGGCTTGATGCCTTTAATCAGGGATATTTGACTAAAGCTGCGGTCACACTTGACTTTTCTCCCCATAGATTTACATTCATACGCACACCAATGCGTCAGACCGGAAACGTAGGGTCATGCGCTAAGTTTCGCAGGTCGCAGAGGTGCAAAGTTCAAGCTTGGTGAACTCTGACCTGCGAAATCGCATCACTTGACTGTGTGAGACCAATCGAGGATCAAAACGTGACCTCTCTGGCTTAATCCCGCCCCTTTTCGAAGCGACGTACAACAGATTTTCGCACACACAAACTCTAGAGTAACCGCAGCTTTATGCTATATATGATTGTTGTGCAAGGGAGACGTCAAGTGGTGAGGTTTGAACTCTATCAACCAATTAAATGTCTACAAACTTCTTAGAAGAGAGGGGAATTATACAATTTGATTTATTTACAATGTCTTATGACTGATGTTCATTCATTCATTCCTTCATTTTAGATTAGCCCCTGATTTATCAGAAGTTGCTACAATGGAATGAACTGCCAACTATTCTGACATATGTATTATGCAGCGAATGCCGTTCCAGCCACAAGCCAACACCTTGCTGGGAAACACCTATGCATTCTTTTGACAGATGTACAATGTATATTTTAGAACAGGGGTGCACAAACTCGGTCCTGGAGAGCCAGTGTCCTGATGAGTTTAGCTCCAACTTGCTTCAGCACACCTGCCAGGAAGTTTCTAGTATATCTAGTAAGGGCTTGATCAGCTGGTTCAGGTGTGTTTGATTAGGGTTCTAGCTAAACTTTCCAGGAAACCGGCCCTCCAGGATCAAGTTCGGACACCCCTGTTCTAGTAAATCTAGTAAGAGCTTGATCAGCTGGTTCAGGTGTGTTTGATTAGGGTTTGAGCTTAACTCTCCAGGACACTGGAGGATCAAGTTCGGAGATCCCTGTTCTAGCATATCTAGTAAGACCTTGATGAGCTGGTTCTCCAGGCCACTCTCCAAGCCACTGACCCTCCAGGATCGAGTTTGAACATCCCTGTTCTAGTATATCTAAGAGCTTGATCAGTTGGTTCAGGTGTGTTCGATTAGGGTTGGAGCCATACTCTCCAGGACACTTGCCCTCCAGAATCGAGTTTGGACATCCCTGTTAGTATATTTAGTAAGAGCTTGATCAGCTGGTTCAGGTGTGTTTGATTAAGGTTGGAGCTTAACTCTCCAGGACACTGGCCCTCCAGGATCGAGTTTGGACATCCCTGTTCTAAGAGCTTGATCAGCTGGTTCAGGTATGTTTGATTTGGGTTGGAGCTAAACTCTCCTTGACACTGGCCCAGAATCGAGATTGGATACCACTGTTCTAGTATATCTAGTAAGACAGGGGTGTCCAAACTCTTTCATGGAGGGCAGGTGTCCTTAGTTTTGCACCAACTTCAACACACCTGTCTGGAAGTTTCTAGTGTACCTAGAAAGAGCTTGATTAGCTGATTCAGGTGTGTTTGATTAGGGTTGGAGCTAAACTCTCCAGGACACTGGCCCTCCAGAATCGAGTTTGGACAATCCCTGGCCTAGAACATCCTTGGGCCTCAAATATTTGACTTCATTTGATGATCTGATGTCATGCCTCTGACTAGATAGCTTTATCAACAGGACTGAACAACCTTCATGCCTCAGACTAAAAGGTGTTATGTCTCCGGAATAACAATGTCACTTGTCAGGTTATGTATATGTACTGTAGGCTTCTTGTGAAACAGCTTCAGATAAAAACAGCATTGAACAGAAATGCAACATACAAAACAAATACGGCTGTGGGTTTAATTTAAAATTAAGCATATTTATGAGTTTTACAAGACAATCATCTCAATGATATCACCTAGGGCAGGGGTTCTCAAACTCAGTCCTTGAGGCCCGGTGTCCTGCAAATTTTAGCTCCATTTTGCCTCAACTCATCATCAATAGGTCTGATTGGGGTTGGAGCTAAAACACCGGACCTACAGGACCGAGAACCCCTGACCTAGGGGGTAGTATGTAAATACAGAGTAAAAAGAAATGGGCTGGACACCGAGCCCTGGGGTACTCCGCAATAAAATTGTCAATCTTTTACATTTACTGACAAATTAATAACATTGAGAAAGGATGACTAAGATCCAGTAGCACCCACAGGAAGATGCAAGCAGGATAGGATGATAAGAACATTTGTAACTCTGAAGGGTGGACAGATTTGCCTAAAACTCTTTTTTGGGGAAACTATTTTGTAAACACCGCTTTATTTGTAGGTACAGGGCAAATCTGCAGCACATACCTGTCTAATTTTAATTTGTTTTAAGTCACAGATATTTAGATCTTCAAGTCTTCAATTTTCCAATTACACTGTGCTGACTTTTTTCAGATCATAAAAAGGTGGTTTAGTTTGGTCTTCAATATATCGGTATTGCTATTTAGTACACTTATTTTGTTCTTCAATGGGCATTCCTACAGTATAATGGTGTGATATCATATAACATTAAATATTTATCAAATGTAAGTGTCCATAAAAATAAAAAAAAAGTTTGGGGTACTTTCCATAAGATAATATTCAACAAAAAGACATCTGTGTTTTATTACTTTACTGATCATGATTATTTTTCAATTGTGCAGTAAATGTATGTCACATAACGCACAGCCATGTTTTATAATCTTTCTATCAGATGGTTCCCTCTCAGTACAGGTTGTTGAGGACGTGGTTGGCGATGTATTTGACAGCCAGCATGGTCTCCTCACAAGTAGGCTTGATCTGGGACTCGGGCAGCAGGAAACCGTAACGGCCTTCATCACGCAGCTCAAAGGTGTAGGAGTATTTCACACCCAGATCATAAGCCCAGTCATCAGAGCCACCAGCAGCAGGGTCTGCGGTGAGATAAGGGTCCGGTTTACAAGACATCAGCAGTAACCTTCTCACTAAAGTGGATCTTGGTTTTCTTGGTCAGATGGTTTTCCTTGTAGACCATATGCATACATATATTCTAAATGTGCCTATAATATCTGATTTAATTAGAAATGATTTATTGTGAAAAATAACATCCTGCCTTAAATATACTGTACCTTGTTGCTGTGGTGAGATTCTAAGATGGGAGATGACAAATGGAGTGAGTAGAAATGTTGACTATGTACGTATATTTTATTTAATACTTAAGAGAATTGACTAAAGTTGGTTTTAATAAAAACAATAACACTTTACAATATGGGATACATCTATAAACATGAAAAAGTGCTTTTACAGAATTTATTATAATTAATAAATGCTGTAAAAGCATATTTTGTTGTAATGACATGAGCGAACAATCAGACTCCCTTTTTTTCGCGATTTTGTGATCACTGAATCCAAAGCAAAATCAACAAAAGTCGCAATTTTTAGCGATCTTGCAAAATTCATGATTTAAACACAAAATAATGGCAAAAATGTAAATAATTTCAATAAACATCCAATTCCGAACCATATAGATGAATTGTTTTCCATGACTTATTGTAAATAACACAACGCAAATTGGATGTTTTGTGCATTTGGCGTGCTTCAGACTACAAAAGAAAGTGTGAGTAAACATCTAACAAACGGAGCAGTGGAAAAGACAGAAAAGCAAGCAGCTTACAATGATGGAGACGTGACTGAACTGAAGGACATTATTTGTGCTTTACATTTATGGTTGGTATTATATTGTGTCAAATCGATAAATGATTTTGCTTAACTCTTTCCCTGCCGTTGACAAGAAAAAAACGATTTTCCGCCATTGACGAGTTTTACATCAATCCGTGTTTTAGGTTTATTACGGAAGGGGAAGCCCTAACGCATGTCCTGCATGAGGTACATGATGTTAGATGCTCCGGAGATCGAAATCTGTCAAAGATAAAAGTAAGATTGTAGATAAAAATAAGAGTTATACAAACTTCCTTTGGCTTAATCGCTACCTTTTTAAATCTGTTTTCGATCTTGTCTTGACAAGAGACCAAAACATAGAAGCTTCATTTTTATGATTTGTATCAACTGTGTCAGATTGCACACCTAACATAGTAGGCTACCTAATTTTATATATATATATATATATATATATATATAAATCCTCCGAAAAATCACGAAAATCTAGGGGGTCTAAACAATGAATAACATATTAGTTGTTAGAACATTAGTTGTTCATTGTTAGTTAAGTAAACTCAAGAGTGCATTGACCAATGGATTACTTAATGCACACTTGAGTTGACAACTAACAATGAACAACTAACATTAACAAAGATTTATAAATAATGTAATAAGTATGTTGTTCATGCTGGAAAATGCATTAAGTAACATTACTATGCGTTCCAAATTGTAAAATGTTACCATACGGAGTATAACATGTTTAGCTTAGCAGCAAGCTAACATGTTGGAACTGCCTGTGACTTGTGAGACTCCTCTCAGTCTATAATACTACAAATAGATGTATAGATTGAAATAAGAAGGTCACTGCATAAAGTTCCCAAACTGAAATCGCATGCTGCGTCCCAATTTGCAAACTATCCATCCCAAATAATATTCGAAAATAGAATTAGCATGTCCCAAACCATAGTATGTTGACAAGAGTATCTCTGCATCCCAATTCGCATACTCCCCATCCTAAATAGTATTCAAAAAGAGAATTAACATGTCCCAAACTGTAGTATGTTGAAAAGAGTAAGGCAAAGGTTCTCAGATGGCCTAACTAGAAATTTGAAGTGTAGAACCATCCATACTCTAACCACTGATACTACCCACAATTCATTGCGGGTTGGATGTGAATTCCATTAGAACTACAAACTCGGGAAGAAAGAGTAAATAAACTACAAACATGGCGGATACGCAAGACCAACCGTCAAGTAGAGAGGCTTCTGTAAAGTTGTTTGTATGACTATCAATTGATTTTTCATTTAAATCATGTTTTCAGTGTTATATTTCATCTGCAACAACAATGTGAACTTCTCTAAAGATAAGTTTGGACATTAACTTCTGAATGCAGAGTTTTCCAAAGACCTGAGGAGATTTCTCTGCATGAAAGACCCGCCAATTAACCTGCTGCTGCATCTCCAGTAAGGTAGGTAATTAAATATGAAAGAAATGTGGATGATGTGTCGAGATGATTGACAGTGGATGTAACCGAGCAAAATAACAAAAAAGTACATAGTTTTAGGACATAGTATAAGTATCAAAACACTTGATACTCACAGATAGTCGCAGCACCAGGGCCGCTAGTGTATTTGGTTCCATACAGGCTGCGCAGAGCTGCAATAGCTCCCTGAGAAACACTCATCTAAAGGATTTAGAGAAAAAAAATACAAATTAAATTAAAAATCTTATTGGGTGTTGCTCAGTTATATATAAAAATACAATATTAAGGCGAGGTTAAATGCATGTCTGTCTGTTTGTGAAGCGGTACCAGCTCTGAGTGGTGAGCAGCCAGGTCATATTTGTAGGAATAGGGGAAGAGCAGCAGCTGGGAATACGAGTGGACTGTCAGGTAGGCCTTGATGACGGACTTGTTGGTGCGGATGAAGTTGGCCAAATTCTTGGACTCAATCTCAGATTCTGGACTGCTTCCACAATAGGTGTCACTGCAAGGGTTGCTGGAAGCTCCAACGGCTGGAAGGTGAATGGAATACATATATAAACCACAAAACCTGTTGCACGTGTATATTTCAGCGAATAGCCAAAAATTAAATTCAATTTTTCTTCGGCTTAGTCCTTTTATTTATCAGGGGTCGCCACAGTGGAATGAACTGACAACTATTCTGGCATATATTTTAAGCGGCGGATGCCCTTCTAGCTGCAACCCAGTACTAAGAAACACTAATACACTCTCGCATTCATAGACACACTCATACACTATGGCCAATTCAGTACATCCAATTCACCTACACTGCATGTCTTTGGACTCCAAAGGAAACCGGAGCATCTGGAGGAAACCCACTCGAACACAAGGAGAACATGCAAACTCCCCTTAGAAATGCCAAGTATCATGCTACCACACTGAAATCGATACTTTCATTCAGTGTTGTGATAGAAATGTAAAATAAAATGTAAAAAAGACCCAAGAAGTGTATCTGAACATACTGTAGGCCTGTGATCATTAAAGACACTGATACAGCAAGTTACATCTTACAGATACCTGGGGTTCTATATGGACGGTGTTTTTTGTTGGAGAATACACACTGACAGCTTGTGCACACAACTACAACTTTATTTTTTAAGAAGGCTGAGATTGTATGTGGTGGGTAGCAATATCTTGCTTTGTTTTTTTACCGAGCTCTGTTTGAAAGTCTTATTTGCAATGGAATCATAGTCTGGTAAGAAATCTGTCTGTTCAATTGAAAAACAAATTGGTTCATATTAAAAAAAAAAAAACAGCCATAAAAAACATAGGAATAAAACAATACAAGCCCATACAGACTCTATATGAACAGGCGGTCATGAGGAGAGCAATACATATAAGTGCTGACTCCAAACATCCTCTTTTCAGTGAATATCAGCTTTCACTATCAGGAAAAAGAGTCAAAATGTGTCAAACCAATAGATTGAAGCTTTCGTTTGTTCCAACCTCGATAAAACTGTTGAACTCTACCAAGAATAATGCACCTGTAGTACATTACCACCTATTTATTTCATATGTACATATTTATATATTGTCTATATATGTATAATGTATGCTCTTGATTGTTTTGTTTGTTTTATGTATTTTATTGTCTGCTTAGAGCAACGTTGTAGCACTTTTTTGCCCAAGACAAATTTCCTCTCAGGGACTAATAAAGTTGATAAAAACAACTTAAAAAACTGGCCCAACCGCGATTCGAACCAGTGACCTTCTTGCAGTGAGGTTACAGTGCTGACCAATAAGCCACTTGGTTGTCAACTGGAATAGTGTGAAAACAGTAGGTCAAGGAAGATTTGTTGCTTTAAGTAGTACACAAATATATATGCACAATAGCTTTAATAGGAAGCATGTACTCACTGCACCATCCAGCATTGAAGTTTCTGTTGGGGTCAGTACCGATACAACTGCTGCCGCTGTTCTTGGATCGTGTCTTTCTCCACATTCTGTCCTAGGGGACCCAAACAAACTCTTTGTCTACTAAAATGTATATATTGAATATGCAAATGTCCTCTCTATGTACAGTATATGTTGAATAAAAGATAACATGGTCAGTTATGAACATACTCTGTTCCAGGTGTATTCATAGCCATCAATGTTGAAGACAGGCAGAACAAAGAAGTCCATTCTGTCCAGAAGGTTGGTCATGTCAGGATCACTGCCATATGTGGACACAGCCTGATCAAATGAATAATAAAAATTTAGGTTTAGAGATATTTTTTAAATTAAAGACACTGAATAAAAATACTTTTTCTGTACCTCATTAACAAACCACTGGCAGAAAGCATGGGTGATCCATTCTCTGGCATGAAAACCACAGTCCATGAAGACTGCTGGCTTATTAGACCCTGTATTCTTTCCAATCTGTACAAAATTAAAAAAAAGTCATGATGGATGGATGGATAGATGGATGGATGGATGGATAGATGGATAGATAGATAGATAGATAGATAGATAGATAGATAGATAGATAGATAGATAGATAGATAGATAGATAGATAGATAGATAGATAGATAGATAGATAGATAGATAGATAGATAGATAGATAGATAGATAGATAGATAGATAGATTTGCTGATGACGTTCAATTTCTGTTTGATTTCATAGAAAACACCACTCCATGAACACCATATATGCTTTAACATGCTCTCTCTCTCGCTCTCCTTCAGCTTATTGCCTGCTTTATCAGGGGTTGCCAAAGCGAAATGAACCACCAATTACTCCAGCACATGTTTTGCCAACACGATCTCACGGCAATTCATACCTTTTTGATTTAGTGGATAATTCTTATGAATTTGTACGATCTCATTTGTATAATTTAGTACAATTTGCTTGTTCTCCAATGACGGTTGGGTTTAGGAGTGGGGTTTGGTGCCACGTTTCTTCTTTAAAATCAAACATTTTCGTATGACAGAACTCGTACAAATTAGCCCCTTAGCTGACAAAATGTAAAACAGTTGTTTCCTCGTGGGATCAGGCGGGAAACACCCACACCCTTTCTAATTCAAAATATGGCTAATTTAATTTATCCCATTCACCTACAGTATACCACATGTCTTTAAACTCACAGCCCTGCCTACACTCGTAACCGATAACAAGCTGACCAAATACAGATCTTACTCTTTGCGCTTTCACAAGGTGTAGTTACATTTTTTTTAAATTTACACATCAAGGTCTGCACCAGGCTACAGAAAAGGGTATGCGACTGTTTCAAGGCTAATGCCTCATTCACACAGGAAGAGACCGCCAATGCTTGACGTGTCTGAAGTTGGAACTGACGTGATCACCATATCAGCGTCAGCCAATGAAATCAGACTGCAATTGGCTACTGTCTGAGCTGGGATATTTGCATAAAGTGATCTGATTGGCTGACACTTCCATTGGGACTTGAAATTCCCAACTTCTACAGCGAGCAACACTGTGAAAGCAGCACTGACGGATTTATAATTCAATTCAGCAATGCTTGATGTAACCCATTCAAAGTGAATGGGAAGCATTGACGCTGACCTATTGTGAGAATCCCCTGACCTACCGTGTAAACTCGATGCAGAAGTATTACCTGGCCTTTACTTTGTTCAAACTTTAATGATGATAATGATGATAAGGTCTGAATACTTCAGCTCATTTATGAACATGCTTTTTGCAGAGTTCCGTGAAAATGACAACTCATCAAAATATGCCTTTGTTTGTGGTGAATATGTGCCCTCTAGTGGTGAAATGTATATATACTGTTACATAATGTTACTTTTTATCAGTATTATATTTATATTTTAAAACTAGAGTGTTTTTTTTTTGAAAACATATGCCAGAGTTATTGGTGGTTCATTCCACGGTGGTGACCCCTGATAAATCAGGAACTAACCTGAAGCAAAAGTGAGTGAGTATTTATTTTACACAGGATTGTTCTGAACAGACTTTACCTTCAGAAGGTGCATGGTTCTTCCCTCATAAGTGTTACCGATCGACTGCCTGCTGATCAGGTCAGGGTTGGCAGAGCTGATGGAGATTGCCCAGTCATTGATCTGAAGGTGAAATTATAACAAAACACATATGACAGAGTAAAAATAATGTTTCAGGGAAATTGTAAGTGCACTGACAGTCATACCGTTGCCCAGCTGTTGTACTTTGTGTAGTCGTGACCCTTTGTTGGACTCCTGTTGTCCATCTGACCCTTCACAGCCTCCTGAAGATTATCAATCATCACCCTGCAAAGAAAACCACAATGATTTCACTTTATTTTTGGTGTGTGTGGATGTAATTTTGCCTTTAGAAGAAAACTTTTTACAATGCTCATATAAAACAACTACCAGCCTGATCTCACGAGAAAACGTAAGTATTTTACGTTTTGCCAGTTTAGTGGCTAATTCGTACGAATTCGTACGAGTTCAGTCGTATGAAATGGTTCGATTTTAAAAAGGAGGCGTGGCACCTGACCCCACCCCTAACCCCAACCGTCATTGGGGGATAAGCAAATCGTACTAAATTGTACGAATTAGATTGTACGAATTCATACGAATTAGCCACTAAATTAAAAAGTTACGAATTGCCGTGAGATTGTGTTGGAACTACAGTAAAAGCTTCTTCCCGGGTTTTTGACATCACCAGCACTACAATTTTCATAAACTCTTCCACTAGATGTGATGTCTCTGGGCAATGTGCACTAGCTGGTCAGTAAACCAGAACACATTGGGCCAGCTGACCAATAAAATAAAAATGTACAAATGTTATTCAAATATTGTGCAGATACCATCTACAGACTTCACCAATGTTTCTTGGAGTATATCTAAACTATTTTCTAACTTTTTGTTGTCCCTTTGTGTCCAGTACTTACTTGACTTCCATGTCGCTCTGCTGTAGGATGGTGGAGACCATGGCGAGCTGAGCTGCAGGAACGTGGATATCAACAGTCATGTCGATGCTCACAAGATCCGCACTGCGAGGCTTCCAGAAATCCAGCTGTAGAGGGTTTAATGTGCACAGTTACTGTTAGATTAGTAAAAAATAACAAATAAAGCATTAAAGGATCACAGCTGAAAGGGATAGTTCACAGAAAAAAATTATTTACTCACCCTTTGTTTATTACGAACCCAACTGACTTCTTTTTTTTGTTAAACACTAAGGAAGATCCTTTAGTGTTCAACAAAATAAAGAAACTCATAACATTTGGAAGCACTTTGAGAAAGAGTAAACAGTGAGTAAATGAACTTTTTTTAGGGTGAACAATAGCAACAGTATGAAGCTGCAGGCCCGGAGATCCAACTTCACGCTCAGACCTGCACTTCCAGACCTATTGTTTTCTCAGACAGTGCGACCTGCTGTCTGAAAGATTTCCTAACCTGAGTTCAACTGCTTATCAACTGTAACTTACACAATTTTTTTACTATAAAATATTACGCTATGACTGAATACATTACTATATAAAATATTAAACATACTAGATTATGATTTAATGCATTAATTTTGTTGTATTTTTATTAATTGTATTTGTCAATAGATTTTGTTCGGTTATTTCATTATTTTCAGTCATTTATTTTTAATAATTAAAGATTTATCACACTGTTTAGTATTGAGTTGAGGGAATGAATATTATCTCTTTCTTCACATGCAATAAGTTATGGTATTATGAGTAATTTTTTTGTGTACTTTTTTATGAGGTCCTAAATGTCACCCAGCTGTAAACAATGGTGAATGGTTAAGAAAAATTGTGAAAAATAATTGGATTAAAAATTATATATTACGTGGAAAATCTAATAAAATAAATACTTTACATTCTTGTCGAGGAAATTTTTAACTTCTCTAGCAAAAAAACTGGGGATATCTGCAACATCTGGGAAAAAAAACACAAGTCACAAGCCAATTATTTATGCTTTAACGTAAGAGAGCTCATATTGTAAATTCTATGCAGGTTATTATTCATATTATTCTTATTCGTAGTTATTACAGAACTTTTAACAATATTACAGAACTTATCAACAATTGTTAAACTGTTATTGTGTTACTGTTATTTTCCTGTGCTAGCACTTTCAGATAGATAATACAGTAATACGTACAGTAGACCATTAAAATATGTTATAAATAATAATTGCATTATACATTTTATTTTAGTATTTTTACTTTAAAGTTTTTTATTTTGCCAGAAAATATTGCTAGAAAATTGTTCCAGAAAGGTACAAAAACACAGAAAAAAGCAAGCTGTAAATATCATAATGTAATGCTGTTTTGACACTAATTTTGATCAAATCAAACACTGAAATAATTGTTTGTTGGTGTAATAAGATGCCACATTGATTTAATAAAATCAATAACCTTACTCAAATGTCCGATGTTGCTACTTGCTAGAAAGTACTGGTCTGAGCATGCAGTTGGGTTTTTGTACCTGCCACTTTACTCAACCCAACAGCATGTGGCAGTGTCAGAGAAAACGATAGGTCTGGAAGTGGAGTTCTGAGTGTGCAGTTGGGTCTCCGGGCCTGCAGCTTCATAATACTCAACTATACCGATTCATGTTTGTTTATAGTGCGACCAAGTGGCCACAGCCATTCATTGTTATCATTTTAAAGATATTTTTTAAGGGGAGCAAAAAATTTTTAATTCAACATATTGTGTCATTTTAACCTTGTCTATCAGAGCTTTTGAACAAAATAAAAATATATTTAAATAAACAAATTAACATTTCCTCATTTAAATAATACTTTACACTTTACCTTGATTTTCTCGCCCAGTTCCCTGATGATGGTCACATGTTCATCATTTATGGGTTTCAGCTGGAGGACCTTATCACTATAAAATTATGCAGAAAAACATCTTTAAAATCTTAGATAGGCTATTATACCTCCACATAGTGTAATATTTCTTTACCATAGTGAAAAAATATCAATATTTACCCCACAAATGTGATTGGCTCACAGAGAGCCACTGCCACCAATCCCAAGAGCAAAAATAACTTCATTTTACCTGTGTAGTCCTTCTCTCCACACAGTTCTCCTTTTATAAAGTAAGGCCCACACGGGGACCACCTCCTCCAAAATATCTTCAACGTTTTCATTTATGATTCACCAGTTGCACACGGCGTTCAAGATATTTTTAGCTATTTGAGGCGACAGCTTCAGATGCTTTCAATCATTAACCGACTGAAAGACGGACCCTTAAATGTTAACAATTTAAAGAGAAGTTTACTCACACATTGAGAAACTGAGTTTAATTTAAGTTACAAACTATGTGTTCAGTGTAGATGAGTACAAAATATTTCAATAGGCCTATGTACATTTATAAAAGAGCGAAAAAATAAAATTTCCGACCATAAAACAAGTATTCATTATCATATACTGTAATATTAGAACCTAAACCACAAAACACAAACACTAAACAGACAATCTAAAACAGTTATGTCATGTTCAGTGTATAAAGTTTTAACATTCAAATCTCATAGCAGTAGTTTATATCTTACTCAAGTTCACAATCATCTGATTTTATTATATTAAAAACAAAAAGTCTGGAAAAGGCACTAAAGAAAATCAAATCTCAAGTGTTTGGAGTAAATATGTATTTTATACAACAGTTCTGTCTGGTTCTCGAATCTGATTGACTAATAGTCCTGCGATATTCGAAAATATCAGAACTCGTACAGCCTCTTCAGTGAAAACAATTGTTGTACATGATATGTATCCCATGTACAGTTGAAGTCAGAATTATTAGCCCCCCTTTGAATTTTTTTTCTCTTTTTCAAATATTTTCCAAACGATGTTTAACAGAGCAAAGAAATTTTTACAGTATGTCTGATAATATTTTTTCTTCCAGAGAAAGTCTTATTTGTTTTATTTTTTAAACACCATTTTAAGGACAATATTATAGCCCCTTAAGGCATTTTTTTCAGACAGTCTACAGAACAAACCATCATGGTACAATAACTTGCCTAATTACCCTAACCTGCCTTGTTAACCTAATTAACCTAGTTAACCCTTTAAGCTGTCTAGAAGTGTCTTGAAAAACATCTAGTCAAATATTATTGACTGTCATCATGGCAAAGATAAAATAAATCAGTTATTAGAGATAAGCTATTAAAACTTTTATGTTTAGAAATGTGTTGAAGAAAATCTTCTCTCTGTTAAACAGAAAAAGGGGAAAAAATAAACAAGGGTGCTAATAATTCAGGGGGGCTGATAATTATGAATTCAGCTGTACATCTTACTTGCATCCTATGGCCAAGAGGGAATAAATAAATTGTAAATTAAAAAGGGCCCAAACTGATCCTTGAGGAACACCAGTGGTGACTTGTGATGCCGTATGAACTGAGTTTGAAATGCGAATTGATCCTTGGCAGAAATGTTTGTTTGATTGTAAGTGAAGTTTCACAAACTAATTTCGAGAGGAGCACGTGATATAGTTGATTGTGGCTGGTCACCCAACCCCAATCATTAGTAAACCAATCAGATTAATCCGAACTCACTATAAGTAGCCAGTCTAAAACTACTCCCTTATTTTCGTATTTAAAAAAACCCATCCACCCCTTCTTCCCCCTTTCCTCTTTTACTAGGGGAAGCTCTTGAGAACTGTCTCATCTCGTAGCCCCTTACATGCTTTTCGACCAGGCAAGAGCCCTGGGCTCAATTATCTCCAAGTTTAGGGTTTACTCCCGCTACAGCAGGAGTGTCAAACTCAATTCCTGGAGGGCCAAAGCCCTGCACAGTTTAGTTCCAACCCTGCTCCAACACACTTACCTGTAGGTTTCAAACTAGCCTGAAGGACTCAATTAGTTTGATCAGGTGTGTTTAATTAGGATTGGAACTAAACTGTGTAGAGCTGCGGCCCTTTTGGAACTGAGTTTGACACCTGTGCGCTACAGCATGTCAAACTTGCTGATATTATCACGCAATATAAGTGTGAACTCTTGAAATAATATACAGTTTTGTGTCTGTTACATCCAGTGTCATGGCTAATATGTTCGTCTACTTCTGTAATAAGTACTTTTAACAAGTGTACTTCTTTTTTCAAAAGGGGCAATGTCTGTAGATACAGTGTGTTGCTGATACACTAACTTAAACAAAATCATTATGCTTAGCAAGCTTCTGTAAAGCTTTGGCCACGAATGTTGTATCTTGTAGTACCTCAAAATCCCTCCAGAAAGCATGTATGAATATTAAAGGTATGCTTTTTAACTCTTAAGATGCCTTA